TCTTAATTCTAATGCATCCAAGCTGAACTGATCTCCTCTGCCCGAAGCCTGATTCTCATCTCAGTTAATAGCTATTTGCTCCTTCCAGGAGGTCAGGACAAAAATCTCAGACTCATACTCAACTCCTCTCGTTCTTCCCATCCAACCCACCAGAAAAACTTTAATAAAATATATTCAGACTTCAACTCCTTTTCACTATCTCTATGTTACTTTTACCCTGTTACCAGTCAACACTACCTCTCATTAGGATAACTGAAAGAGCTTCCTAAACGGTTTCCCCGTTTCTGCCCCTGCCCACCCCTTTCACCTGGTCTCAACACATCAGCCAGAGTAATCCTGTTACAGCAGGGCATTCATCCTTTAAAATCCTTCAATAACATCCCACCTCCCTCAGTATAAAATCCCAAATCTTCCCAGGCGGGGTGGCTCACACCTGTAATCTCAACACTTTGGGAGGCTGAGGCAGGTGGATCACCATATCAGGAGTTCGAGACCAGCCTGGCCAACATGGCAAAACCCCGTCTCTACCAAAACTACAAAAATTAGCCAGTCATGGTGGCAGATACCTGTAACCCCAGCTGCTTGGGAGGCTCAAGCAGGAGAATCGCTTGAACCCAGGAGGCAGAAGTTGCAGTGAGCTGAGATCAGGCTACCTCACTCTAGCCTGGATGACAAGAGCAAAACTCTGTCTCAAAAAAAAAAAAAAGAAAACAAAGGAAATTCTAAGTCTTACCATGGCCTTCAAGGCGACTTGGCACCTACCCACCGTGTTCCTCTTTCCTCTCCCATGGCTGTCTCCACTGCTCACTCCACTCCAGCCACTGCACCCTTGCACCCTCCTTGCTTTCTCTGAATACATCAGACGCTTGTCACTTCCCCTAGCTGCATCCTCTCCTCTCCAGCATCACGTCGCCCATTCCTTCACTTCCTTTCAATTCATCCTCACATGTCACCTTCTCCACGAGGTCATCCCCTACCGTCCACCTGAAGTGTGTGACTCTCTCCCCTTCTACTCCATCCTTCCTTTCTTCTTCTCAATAGCATTCCTAGTTGCCCACTCTAAGAGTGCAGGGACTTGAATTAATTTTGTTCACTTCTGTGTCCTCAACAGTTAAAACAATACCCGGCACACAGGAAGTACTAAATAAATATTACTTAAAATAATAAACAGGGAAAAAAATGAATCTAGTAGGCTTCCCAGATTCATGAAAAACATCCTTCTACATGCCTGTATCTTTAACAATAATGGGAAGAACTATCGTCAAGTTCTTACAGACGGAATTTAAAAACCAGCAAATGGGAGCCACAAAGAAGAAATCACAGTAAATCTGGGAACACACACAAATGCCAAAAGAAACTCGTAGCAAATAAGTGAGCAGCCACGGTACTCACAACACAACCAAACACGGTCATCACCTCCCTGACTTCATACAAAGGTCTACGTTAAATAAACGCTTTTGATTTACTTATGAGATGCTTAGCATGCATGATATTATGTTTAGAAGGCATCGCTGAATATTTAGGTTTTCTTTTTTTTTTTTTTTGAGATGGAGTTTCGCTCTTGTTACCCAGACTGGAGTGCAATGGCACAATCTCGGCTCACCGCAACCTCCGCCTCCTGGGTTCAAGCAATTCTTCTGCCTCAGCCTCCCAAGTAGCTGGGACTACAGGCGCGCACCACCATGCCCAGCTAATTTTTGTATTTTTAGTAGAGACAGGGTTTCACCATGTTGACCAGGATGGTCTCGATTTCTTGACCTCGTGATCCACCCGCTTCGGCCTCCCTAAGTGCTGGGATTATAGGCGTGAGCCACCACGCCCGGCATATTTAGGTTTTCTTTCTGCATAAGTTTATTGTGAACACCATGGGAGATTGTTCTAGGTTCAGTAACTCAAACTGATCCAAGTCAACCAGCAGTTTTAAATAACCAAGACTATAAAATTTGATATCTATAGGAAAGTTTTTAAGTATATTTGGTTATTACTTCACACATTAACATGTAGACATTTGTTAATGAATGTGCTATGTTAAACTGTGATTACAAAGTATTATATTAGTAGTTGCTATGTTAATGATATATAATCTGCTAACTAAAATGAATGCTTTCAACAAACAGAAACTTTTGGACACATATTTTTATAAAGTCTTTTAGGGCCAGGAGCAATGGCTCAGGTCTATCCCAAAAAGTGCTGTAATTCCAGCACTTTGAGAGGCGAAGGCAGATAGATCACGAGGTCAGGAAATCGAGACCATCCTAACCAACATGTTGAAATCCTGTCTCTACTAAAAATAGAAAAATTAGCTGGGCGTGGTGGTGCACGCCTGCAGTCCCAGCTACTCAGGAGGGTGAGGCAGGAGAATCTCTGGGAGACCGAGGTTTCAGTGAGCCAAGATCACGCCACTGCACTCCAGCCTGGCAACAGAGAGAGACTCCATCTAAAAAAAAAAATCTTTTTCTATTTTAATATTGATTAATTCCATATTTTTATTATTAACATTATCACGCCTAGGCAAATATCTGCTAGTAAATTACAAATGAGAAGTAATACCTTAACATCCCTATCTGAAACTTCCTGAAGGTAAAATGAATATCATCTTCCTTGCTAATAATCACTCAGAAGGCAATGCATATTGTTATAGTACAGACCTAGAAAATGAAAATCCGTGACTTGAGACTTCATTTCAAAATGAAATGCTATTCTTTTAAGTGCTATTTATATTAACTATAAGTTTTTTATTTAACTAAAGACCATTCTGTAAAATTAGTATTAGAAAATGTGCTATAGTTCTTGATTTCCTCACCAAGAAACCACTGAGCCATCACTTTATATTTTAGCTGAAAAGTGAAGAAACACAAGTTTTTAAACCATATCTAAATCATTGATAGCATTGAAAATAGAGAATTTCAGTAAGCCAGTTATAGAAAGTCACTATTATCTCAACCTACAGATATTTCTCTAAGAAAATGGAAGAGCCACATACTCCAAGGTGAAGCCATGACCTTCAGGAATATCCTTACGCAGGCCGGGCGCAGTGACTCATGCCTGTAATCCCAGCACTTTGGGGGGCCGAGGCAGGATGATCAACTGAGGTCAGGAGTTCGAGACCAGCCTGACCAGTATGGCGAAACCCTGTCTCTACTAAAAATACAAAAATTAGCCAGGGTTGGTGGCGGGCGCCTGTAGTCCCAGCTACTGAGACAGAGGTTGCCGTGAGACGAGATGATGCCACTGCACTCCAGCCTGGGTGACAGAGTGAGACTCCGTCTCAAAAAAAAAAAAACAAAAACCATACTTATGCATAGTACAATGTAATAAATGTTTGTTGAAGCCAATTAATCTGCACTTAGTTGGATATAATAATTAAATGGAATGTAGTTTTAGAGAAAAACATTTAAACAGATACAAACTTCTGTCCAAATGGACTTTGATATTTCAGTGAACATTTGGTTAATGTGGCTTGACACTTGTAAGGCAGACGACAAAGAAAGTTAGAAGTATTAAAACATCACTAAGTCATTGTGAAAGTGAGTAACGGTACTTGTTATTATATGTTTACAGATGCCTAACCCTCTGCTTTTTCTTACCTCTATGCTTTTTAAAAATATATTACTTACAACAACCCTATGAGGTAAGTGTTAGGATACGCACATTGCAAATGAGGAAATTAGGACCCATGAAAATCAAGTAACCTGGTGAGGTATCATAGTTAGTAACTGCCTAGGCTGTGATTCGAACTCAGGTCTGTTTCACTCCAAAGTGTTTCTAAATCTCTGATCCCAACTCTGCATGGCCATTATAACAAATTCAAATATATTTCGCACATTTGTAGGTAAAACCCTTGTCAGGAAATAATACTGTACTTTCCACCTCCAAAAAAAATTCCAGCAAACTTTTATTGAGAACGTTTAAGGAAATTTGAAATTTCCACACAGCACAGTTAGTCAAGAGCATACTTTACAAAAAATTTAAAGCATGTTAAGTTTATCATGCTGGTAACTCCATTGTTCAATGATGTAAAACAATCTTTGCAAGAGAGGATGCACCTCATTTATAGAGGCAAGCTACAAGTCATAGAATCTCAAAGTTAAAAGACTTTTCAAATCTTTTAAGTTACTTAACCTTCTTTTTATCGGCAATAAACTGAAGCCCAGGAAGCTTAAGTAGCTTATTTATGTTTACACAACTAGAAAGAAGCAAACTGTAATGTTACTTTGTTACTTATAACAGGATAAAAATATTTCCAATTCCCGATTAATTTATTTGACCAGACCACAGAAAGCTCTCAGTTTCCATGGCAAACAGTTACTAAACAAGGATTGTAAATACCACATCAAAATTAGCTTTTTATATTACCAACAGTAGTTATGTGATTTTTAACTACTTTCTCATAGAGACGAACAAAAATTAATTGTAAGACTTAAAGAATCTAAGACTCTTACGAGCACTGTATAAAGTTCACGTGTGCCATAAAGATTAACGAATGTTCGGGCTGTTTTTAAAGTCAAGGTTTTCATTCTGAGAACTTACTGTATCTTATATCGACTCCCAGTCATTAGACATTTATTTTGGGCCATTTTTAGATTTTGTTTACTAAAATGAAGTGTGAAAATGAAGAAAAATAATAGTAATGCAAACCACTTAAGTTCTGCAAACACAGAACTTAGAAATATCTACTGCGATATTTAAGAAGCCAATCAGTCCTAAATAAAGCAGGACATCGGCCTATTAGATGTGTCATGATTACAAAATTTCCTTCGTGACCATAATCCACATTCAATTATGTGTGCTAATGTTGAAGACCACACGGTAAAATTAATAAAATTCCAACAGAAGTACCCAAATAAAAAAGGATCTACAGAAAACAGTTTCAAACAAGGAAATCCAAAGTCATAAATCACTCGGATCATGCAGCCGTTCAAAATAACTAGTCGAATCTCTGGGTGTAAGCCCCCCGACCGAAAATGAACTCCTCGTAGAGTACGTAAAAAGCAACATACCTTCTTCAAGGTGGAGAATTCCCAGCAATCAAATTGTAATCCATATAGAAAAGGTATCATCAAAAATGCCAACGTTAACTTTTAAGTAACTCCACGTAAAGAGGTGTGATGACTCCATTCAGGAATGATTTGACCTTGTCTTGGTACTTCCATGTTGTTGGCTGATAGAAAGATGAAGTGAGAACAACTCAGAATGGAGGTCAGTGCCAGGAAGTACTCCAGCAAAGGCATGATGTTTTCTAGATGCTAACAATAGTAATGACACCTATACAATTGAAATTAATTAAAGTTAGCTTCCAAGTCATTCTACCTACTCACTGCCTAAAAGAAAGTAACTGTTGCATTAATATATTTCAGTCTCTGATACGAAAACTCAAAACTACGTTGTTCTAGCACTTGAATCATTTCTAGGCACGAGTCTTCAATAGTAACTACTACTATACAGAATCAAAACTTGAAAAAGTTAAAAGACAATGTTTGGGCATTTCCTCAAGTTATTAGCAGTGCATGCGGTTTGATGTTTCATTTGTCTTGTTCAAAAGTGAGTAAGCCCAAGGGCGTGAAGAAAGCTGCTAGCACTTCGGAATATACCAGAGAACCAAGTGGAGAAGGTGATAAACTATCTTGGCATTAAAAATGATCTCACAAAACATACCTGAAGATAATAACCTTTAGGTTATTCTGCAAGTAGAATTCAAAAAGTCTATTCTACATATTCCCAGCATCTAGATATCACCTCAGATAGAGCATACCCACTTTCAACAAGCTCCCAACCTCAGTCTCCAAAATTCCTTTTCTTTTTCTTTTTCTTTTTTTTGAGACGGAGTCTGGCTCTGTCACCCAGGATGGAGTGCAATGGTGCCATCTCGGCTCACTGCAACCTCCGTCTCCTGGGTTCAAGAGATTCTCCTGTCTCAGCCTCCGAAGAGCTGGGATTACAGGCATGCACCACCACACCCGGCTAATTTTTGTATTTTAGTAGAGACGGACGGGGTTTCACCATGTTGGCCCGGGCTGGTCCCGAACTCAGGACCTCAAGCGATCCAACCCTCTCAGCCTCCCAAAGTGCTGGGATTAGAGGCATGAGCCACTGCGCCCAGCCTCCAAAATGCTTTGTCTACAAACCAAATGACAGTATGGGATAAACAACTCCTTATAAAGTGGAAAAGCGCTGGGAGAGATTGTACCTAAAGTGGCAATGTTTACTAGGTGTGGAGTGTTCCCCTCATTTGAGCATGATCCGACCTAGAAACATTCCGAAGTTAAGCTACTTAGGAAACAAAGTTAGGGCGTCTCCTTTAGCCTATGAACAAGGAGTGGATCGCGCTGCCTCTTCACCCCGCAGAAGCAGTAACAGCCACCCCTCTTTGGGGCGGGCGTGGCCGTTAGAAACAAAAGGTTAAAACACAAAAGGCGGGGCGGAAGGCTGGGTCAGGGGAGCTTCTGGGGCTCACGTTCCGCTTTTTATTGAAACACACTGAAATGGGGTTGGGGATGGGGGTGATGGAAAGTGAGAGGTGAGGACGGAGCCCAAGGATAGCCTGAGTTATTCCGGGTGGGTAGTGAAACTGCAAAGAGCGGACTGGATGGCTCTAAGTAGTGGTCCAGGCCCCATCCCCTCCATCCCTGCATCTCTGACAGTCTGGAACTTGTGGCTTCCTCCACCCCACCTCAGCCCCAAAGAAAACTTTCCAAACCCTTATCTGTTTGTTGTAAACTCCTCCTTGACCGCCAACACAAGGGTCCAACCCCCTCCAACCCAAACCTTTCTTCTTTCCATTGTTGCTGCGTTTTTATATGATGCGTGATATCTACAGAGCGCTCTGCAGACAGCTAAGTTATACAAACGACCCCCACATCCATACTGCTTCCTTTTGCATGACCAAAGTCAGGGCTGGGGTGGGAGCGAGGCTGAACTTGCCCCCATCAATTTCTGCCTATTCATCCCTACAGGAGCGCAGCTGAAAGAAAGCGAGGCAATACCCCCGCACCCCACCCTGCGGATACCCTCCTCCCCATCCCCCCGACCCCTCCTATAAAGAAGCACAAGATATAAACCCCTGCTTGGCTTTTGCCTATTAAAAGTAAACAAATGAAACAATCTACGCGAGTTCTTTAAAGAACAAAAGAGAAGGGAACGGGGAAAGGGGGTACAATTTACCAGCCAGCCAAACTTTGCCACTGAGCGAGTCCTCTGCCCTCCGAAGGGCGGGGAGCCGGGCGAGTCGAAGGGAGAGAGGTAAACAAGACAACAGCCCTCACTCACCTTCTTCCCCACTTGGTCGCACTTTTAAGAGACCTTTCCCCCGCTGCAGTCTGCGAGGCGCTCGGACACTTTTTCCTGGCCTGACAGCAGAGAAAGTCGCGGCGGCAAAGTTGTGAGAGATACCCCGGCGTCCGGGGGAGAGGGGAGGAAAGAGAGTTCATCAGAATTCCCCCTTTTGTTCCAAGTCCCGGAGCAGACAAAGAGGCGGCGAGCGGCGGCAGGTTTCTCCCTCTCACCCCTTCTTCCTCTCTCCCTCCCCTCCCTCCCAGCCCCCTCCCTTTCCCCGCATCTCCCGCCCGGCTCGGGAACCTCCGAGGCGAGCTGGGGCTGCTGGGTCCCCAGTTCCTCGCAACTCTACCCGGAGCGTCTCCTCCCACTGCCTGGCTGGAAACTTTCTCCGGAGATGCCAGCCCTGGCCCCCTCCGCACCGCGCACAAGTCCGGTGGTGGGCAGGGGATCTCCAAAATCATCGTTTCCCGGAGATGCACCTCTTTGTTTGCACTTTCCCTGCCAATCAGTGTGAACCACCATTCACTTGGGCATCGAGTTTCCGTCCGTCTTTCCTCATCCCCAAATTCAAAATCCAAAGGGTAGGGGTCAACCCCGAGAAAGGCGCTTACACAATCAGAGGTGGGGCGCAGGCTAGCCGCCTCATCATCCTTCCTCCTCTCGGACGCACCCTCCTCCACCCCAACACACAGAACCACTCACAGGGGCTCCAAGTGTTAGGAAGCTCTCCTCTCCCGCCCTTCCCCACCTACCCCCACCCACGCTGTCCCTCGGGAGAGCCCTCCAAGTGGCAGGACAAAGGCCAGCTCCGGATTCGGCCAGAGCCTCCATCCACCCCTCGGGGCTACCTGTTGCTGCAGGCGCAGCGCAACTCGGTCCAGGGGCTCCGAGGAAGGATGCCCAGCTCCAGCATCGCGCCCACCTTCTCAGGCCCCGAACTCCCCCTCATCCCAAACTGCGGTGGCAAGGCTCTCTAGATCATCGCGCTCCCTCTGACCCTAGAGCCAAGCGCGGCGCACTCGTCCTCCTCCCTACACCACATACTCCTGCTCACCCCCAGAGATCTGGCTCGGGGTCTCAGGCCGCCTCCCCATCCCCTACCCCCTGCCGCGACACGTCCCAGACAGGCATCCCCTCTGTCCTTCCCCTCCCCCCCTCCTTGTCCGGGACAAATCAGGTGTCTCGGATGAGGAACAGCTCCCGACCCCTTCCCCAGGTCCTTTCCAGCCATCATCCTCCACCTCCAGAATGGGGACCCCAACCTCATGGTCCCCCACCCCTCGACCCTGATCCCAACTTCGGGCTACAGCATTGGCTCGCTGCGTGACTCAGGGCGGCACTCGTTTTCCTTCTAGATCCACTAGAATTGAAGAAAAGGAAAGCAGCGAGCTGGGGGAAATGGGAGAGGGTGGGGGCCCGCATTGGGAAGCAATTTCTAGGGCAAAAGAAAATTCCAACACGAACCCGCACCCTCCAGTTGGTATCCAGCCCGTCGCGCACCTTTGCCTGCACCCTCTTTCCTTTCTCCGCATCCCAGCTTGGGATCTTGGCGGGTTGGCGAAGTTTGGGGGTGGAGGGATGGGGTGGGAGGAAGCTGGGGCACTTGGGTGCCGCGTCCCGGGCTGGCCTACGGGCAGAGGGGCATGGAGGGGAGGGTCCCGGTGGGTCCAGAATGTCGCCGCGGTAGGTCCCCGTACCCGCCTGGCGACTCCGGGCCAAGGTCTCTCCTCCGGAGCAGAACAAAGACGCCGCGAGGAGCGCTTCGGTCCTCGCCTCCCCGCCCCGCGCTTCCCTCGCACGAGCCCATGCTGCTCTCGGAAACTTTACAACCAACTTCCCCTAGAGTTCGTGCGCGCCGCGAGGGGGCCCGAAGGAGAAACCGGGACGGTCGCATCCCGGGACCAGAGATGCCCTCTTCCCCGTCCCCTCCTAGACAGGGAGCACCACCTCTGGCGCCACCCGTCCCAGCCCCCGAGCCGGGCGACCCGCGGTGCCAGGGCGAGCGGAGCACGCGCTTCCCCAGCTCCTTCGGAGAAAGAGTTTCTCCAGTCTGGACGCGTGCAGTTCTGGGCAGGGGTCGGAGGACAGAGATGGACGAGAGATAAAGCAGCCGCTAAGTGAGGCCGAGCGCGCAGGAAGAGCACGGGTGTGAGCCGCGCCCGTCGGGCCGGGTTCCTGCGAGTCCCGCTCCGCCCTCGGATTGCAGCGAGCCGCGGCGAGGCAGGACTGTGGACCCGCCCGGGCGGGCCTCCTGGAGCCGCGGCCCCTCACCTGCCCGGAGACCCGACACCTGCGCCGTCTCCTCGCGGAGCCCGGGGTCTCTTGGGCAGCCAGTCGCCAACTGGAAGCTCAGGAACCTCATCTTAGGCAAGGACTCCTGAACGCACCACAGCCAACCACAAAGAGAAAACAGCCCCCACCCACTCCTGTCTGGCACATTTTCCTCTTTGTTTAATTATGTTGACTTCCAGAATTCTCTTTTTAGAAGTCTACCCTCCCCCAGACAAAACCTTTCCTTCTGTTATCCTCAGGCATCTGCGTGGAAAATAATGGAAAATCAGTACTTCGAGACGAATCCATTCTGCCGCCTCTGGAAAATGCTCCAGGTTATCCGGTGAATCAACCAAGACAGTTTTTGACTTCGAAATAACACCCAATACTCCATCAGATCTATTAACATGTTACTGTTTGTTTTCTTTTTTCAAGGAATGAAGAGTAAGGGTCGTTTGCTAGGTGCAAAAGTCAACACGGCCTCAAGAAGGTTTCTTCCTGCTGCCTTTCTTTATGAAATATTGCTCTCAGAGCTGTTTGAAGTATCTCCCTTTCCCAACCTGCTTGCGAACAAAGTGATTTCTTCCTCGAATCTTGGTCTTCAGACTGTCAGAGTCCCCCCGCCCCCCATCTCTGTAATAACGGCTGGCCGCCACTCCTGGGAGGATGTAGGAGCTGTTCACTACCGCCTTGTAAAAGCATGCCGTCTTTTCTCAGATGCCACCACACTTTAACATCATTTTAAACAGTTATCAACATCATCCAGGCTCAACGATGGATACCGCAGAGCAGATAGGCTTAGAAAGCCACGTCTCTCTTCTGTACTAACAAGGTTGGGGCTCCACCCTTATGTCATGGGCTTCCTACTGGCAGGCCAGTGGCATCTTACTCTGTCCTCTCTGCTTCCTCTGGCTGCCATACCCCACTTTGCCTTTGCGGAGGGGCAGGCCGGAGGAGACAGGCAGTTAGTTCCCCTCAGAGCAGCCTTCAACCAATCAGAGATAGGTGCTGAGGCCCGCTGCGGTGGCTCACACCTGTAATCCCAACACTTTGGGAGGCCGAGGAGGGTGGATCATTTGAGGTCAGGAGTTTGAGACCAACCTGGCCAACATGATGAAACCCTGCCTTTACTAAAAATACAAAAAATTAGCTGGGTGTGGTGGCAGGCGCCTGTAATCCCAGCTACACAGGAGGCTGAGGCAGGAGAATCGCTTGAACCTGGGAGGCAGAAGTTGCAGTGAGCCTAGGCAACAGAGAGACACTCCATCTAAAAAAAAAAAAAAAAAAAAAAAAAAAAGGTGTTGGTATGAAAATACTCCAGCTTCCCCCGTGAGCTTAGGACTACAGTCAGTTGTACTCCTGTCTCCCAAACTTCCCGACTTTGAGTTTCAGTTCACACAGCAGTAACCTTCCCTTTAGGGAACACTGTTACCTGCCTGCCATCCTTCCTTCCTTCCCTCCCATTTCCCCTATTTATTTCCTTACTCTCTTCCCCACCAATGCTTTCTAGGATCACATCTCAAATAGATTACAATAGTTGCCCTCAAATCTTACCATTTGGGTCAATTTCTGGGGAAACACAACCTAAGAAACCTCTTAGATATGTTCTTTCTAAAGGGAGGACTCTGTTCTATTTGTAGAATGAAGTTACAAGATTCGATTTTATCTATAAAAAAATTATTTCAGTCATGAGAAATGTTTTGAGTTATCTAGTTCATTTTCTATGTAACAGTTTAAAATTAGGTATCTTATTGAAGGAAGATATTAAGTAGCAATAAGAAAATCATCATATGTGAAAGTTTTGCACATAGAGTCATTATATAAACATTATATAAGTCTAATGCTGGCAATCAGCAATGCAACCAGAAAACGTTAGAATCACACTTTTGAAAACTTAATTCGAAATAACATAGCTTTTGATTGAGTCCCAATGAGAGTGAAGGGGGATGATAAACATTTCCCATACTGTACGACCAATGAGAGATCTCAGTGTCTTTCTGCAAATTTCTTAGCGCATTAATTGGCCAACTACTCACTGCAACTTTTTTCTTTTTTTTTGAGACAGAAAGTCTCGGTCTGTTGCCCATGCTGAAGTGCAATGGAGCGATCTCGGCTCACTGCAACCTCTGCCTCCTGGATTCAAGCAATTCTTCTGCCTCAGCCTTCTGAGTAGCTGGGATTACAGGCACGCGCCACCACGTCCAGCTAATTTTTGTATTTTTAGTAGAGACGGGGTTTCACCATGTTGACCAGGATGGTCTCCATCTACCGGCCTCAGCCTCCCAAAGTGCTGGGATTACAGGCTTGAGCCACCCCGCCCGGCTACACGGTAGAATGCAATTCCCTGCCTTGCCTGAGTCAGATGTGGCCACATGACTGGTTCTGGCCAATGAAATGTGAGCAGCAACTATGTGTGTCTCTCCAAGTGGGAGCTTTAAGATTTTGGTGTATGATTTTGACATGCTCCTTTTCCATCTGCCACAGCGCTGGATAGGGATGCTGATTTAGCCTGGGTACCAAACTGAGTACCTACTGGCCAGCCCTCAGTGGTCGTTTAGTGCGAACAAAAAACACGAAATTTTCGGACAGGCGCAGTAGCCTGAAATCCCAGCACTTTGGGAGGCCGAGGTGGGAGAAGCACAAGGTCAGGAGTTTGAGACCAGCCTGGCGAACATGGTGAAACCTCATCTCTAATAAAAATACAAAAAATATTAGCCAGTTGTGGTGGAGGGCACCTGTAATCCCAGCTACTTGGGAGGCTGCGGCAAGGGAATTGCTTGAACTCGGGAGCTAGAGGTTGCAGGGAGCTAGAGGTTGCCCAGTCGACAGAATGAGGATCCATCTCAAAAAGAAAAGAAAAGAAAAGAAAATTTCTTATCACAAACCACTGAAATTTTAGGGTTGTGTGTAATCACAGCCCAACCTGGTTGATTCTTTCTTGTTTGAACACTCTCAGTCATTTACCTTTGCCAAGTCACACGTATGGTTTCCTTACGGGTTTTAGATCTTGGAAAGTTTACTCAGAAGCCCACATGAACGTCCCACAGTATTCTCTAGCAGGACTTCAAGTTTAATGGTACTGTGCAGGGTAAATTGTTTTCCTTATGAAATAGTAGTTTATCTGATTAAAAAGGACTGCCAACTGGATCACCTAAAGTCAAGAGTTTGAGACCAGCCTGACCAACAAGGTGAAACTTAATCTCTACTAAAAACACAAAAATTAGCCAGGCGTAGTGGCAGATGCCTGTAATCCCAGCCACTCAGGAGGCTGAGGCAGGAGAATCACTTGAACCCAGGAGGCAGAGGTTGCAGTGAGCCGAGATTGGGCCACTGCATTCCACCCTGGGTGACAGAGCAAGACTCCATCTCAAAAGAAAAAAAAAAAAAAGACTACCAACCAGTTAATAAGAAAGGAGTGAGGTCGGGCATAGTGGCTCATGCCTGTAA